ATGTGCAGCTTATGATTAGCTCTTCAGGTCCCAGGCTGAAACCTCAGGTCCCTGCACACACAGCAATGAGTATTACACAAGGTGGTCAGGAGACCTAAATTCTAGTCTCCTAATTGGGTGACCTCAGTTAATCTGATTCAACAACTTGATCTGTGTGCAGGATGCTATGTCAAACTGCATGACTGAGGGTACAGAAAACATGTAAAAGCATTACTGTCCTCAAAGGGTTCACAAGGCTAGTAGGGCAACTAGCATGCGGCAAAGATGTTATGACAGATGGCACCAAGCCATGGGTACCAGCCTCTGCAAGAGCAGAGTGGGGAAGAGACCACTTCTAGCTAAATCTCAGACATGGACTCACCGAAGAGATTCCAGAGCAAGTCATGTTCCTGATTAATGGAAACAGGAAAACCCTACAGGTTCATAGCAAGATATTTTCTCAACTCTCCTCCCCAAAGTTGGGATCTCACCGCTTTAAATTTTCATTGATTTGACAAATGTCCATGGAGCTCTTAAATGCCAGGCATTGTGCTTGGCTCTGAGGCAGTAACAGTGAACAAAACATGGGCCTTGTAGTCCATTGGAAACCTTAGACAAACATATAGGTCATTACCACAGTGTGAGAAGGCTGCCCTGACCCTCTTCCAGTCTATACTCTGATTTTTTCAAAGAAGAAAGAGGAAAAATGCAGGAGGAATCTTCTGTGAGGATATCCAGAGTCAAAGTTAAAGGAAGCATTAGTGTGGATTTCTCCCAGGCTCTTGGTTCTTACGGGGAGTTTAAAGAGGACTGGTAGGGATGGGGTGGAGAGCTAGGTCGGGGAGCAGAGGTAAGCGGGCAGACCTTCAACACCAATGACAAGGAACGCACAGTGCTTCTCCCAAGCTCTTGCCTCTGCTCTGATGCTGTGGTGGACGAGCAGGCAGAGCCGGTCCTCGGTCACTGCCTCCTGAGCTTACACTCGCCTCCCTTTTTCGTCAAGGAAAGGGAATAAGTAACACCTGCTCAGCTCTTTTGGCCAGGGTTTTTGAGGGACATGTGAAGGACTTTGTTGTGCCAAATGTATGATGTCACGCAAATCAGTGATGTTACTCTGCTTCTCAGCCACACCTGGTCAACCACGAGCCAGGGAATGAAGACTGAAGCCTTCCATGTGCCCCTTCCAGATAAGGAGCCTGTGGTTAAGCCTTACTGGCAGCCTGTCTCTCCTGTTTCTTCTACCAAAGTCTGCACCGAATTCAGGAAGATGTGCTTTTTAAATAGTGCGTGTGTTTAACAATATACTTAACGTAGTTGGGGTCGTGACGAGAAAGAGGAATAAGGCAAGAAGCTCTCCAGCCGCAGTTGGGGTGGCAGCATACAGGACACCGCACGGCGTGGGTATATGAAACCCCACTGGAGATTTTATGACCTAGGAACCTGCCGCTTATCTCCTCCTCTTGTCAGTTGTCTCCTCTCTGACACTCCTACCATGGATGCAACTACCTTGTTCCCTTGTGGATTCCATCAGGATGGGAGGTTCAGGCCGGACTGGGCAGCACCCCCCGATCTCTCTATGCTGGAGGCCTCCTGAGTGAGGGGGGATGAGGCAGTGCTGAGTGCTGGCTGACGGCTGGACATCAACATCGGTTGGGTGCCATTCCGGACACCAAGCAGATCCCATCGAGTTCCAGATTCTCCACCGGCCTGTCGGCACAGTGAGGGTAGTGAGCCTGTACGCCTGGTTCCCTGCCTGCCGTCACCACCTATCCAAAGGTCAGCTCTGTAAATCAGCAAATCACTGAGTCCTTCCTTAGGGCAGACAAGCTTCCAGGTGAGCATTATTGTCTTGCCAATGGGTTTCAGCCCCCAGCAAGTTCTGTATGGATTCAGTGAGACCACAGAAATGACAGTGGAACATTCTTGGGGTGAAGGGGTTCTACCCAACTTTATTCCCATGGTGGCAGGTCAATCACTAGAATCCTGTCCTCTCAGAGCAAGTCTACATGCAGCAAGCTGGTCTCTGCCTCTGGGCCTCTCTGCCCCCGCAGCCGTCTCAGTCTCTGTCCTGGGCGCTGCCACCACTCCAGTCTCTGCTCTCCTGCAGCCTTGCAGCTGCGCCACCGTGTCGCCCAGAGCGCTGGATGGATCTCTTTATATAGAGTCAATAGCAATGCATTGCCCACATGTGTGTAGTGAGCTAGCCGACCAGGGCCAGGTGAGAATCCTGGCCACAGGAACCTTCACTTTACCCACAATTATTAACCCCAATTTACAGATAAAACTGAGGCCCAAGCTGCTTAAGAACGCTGTCTGAGGCAGGAGAGCATGTCTCATTTTGGGTCTGAATAGTGTGCTGTGTCCAACCCTGGCATTTGCTTCCTTTTTTGCTGGCACATGAACAACTTCTTCTCTCATAAACAATGGAGTTTACTGGTCTTTTTAGTCATTTTCCAAAACGTTTACATTCCATCTGTGTTTGAAAACAGGCTCCAGTGAAATTGTATTAGGAATATACCCAGAAGTAATTACTTTATAGACCTCTTGGTCCTATTTCCAGCTGCTATTTATGAACCAAGCCTCAATTCTTGGGAGAACTGAAATGAGGACAAAGCTCAAACTTTCACTCAACCAACACGTATACAGTGCCCATTGTGCGGCAGACCTGGGCCTTGGGGCCTGATGTATAAAGATGGGTAACAAGTGGTCCTGTCCTTGTGAACATACAGTCTGGTTGTTCTGTGACATTTTTCCTTTAAAAAAATTATTATGAAGTGAAACATATGAATGCAGAATATTTGCAAAGCCCAAGTAAAATAAAAGGAAAAAAAAACCACCCAAATTCAGACAAGGTTTTATAAATCCTGATGGGGCGGGGAGGCCATGTTTTAACGTCTCCATAATCCGCAAAACCTCATACCAGCCTGGAGAAAGCAATCAGTGTTTTTTGAATAAAGGGGAAGCCACCCTTCATCCCACCACCCTGAGAGAACCACTGTCAGCATTTAGAAAACTGTCCCCTTTTCTTTGTGAATGACTGGTTTGGATGTCATTCTCCCTGCCTCCCCTAAGCTAGGTGGATACATTTATGGCCTCCTGTGCACCTGCTGCAAGCGGTGCTGCCCACCATGTTTACTGGGAGTGCCCCAGCACGGCCAGGGGCTCCTCTTGTAGGAGGGGTCTCTTAGGTGTGGGAAGAGCCATAGCTGTTAGCTAAATGCTTCCATGCATCTCTCATCCCACCTCAGAAAGCCTCAGGAAGTTGGTTTATCTGTGATCAGCTCCCTTGGAAAGAGGGGATCTTGCAGCAGCTTTACTCAAACCAGATGATTCACCTGAGACAGCTTTCAAACCTCCCATACCTGGCCCCACTTCACACCAATTAAAACAGAATCTCTAGGCACTAGGCCCAGGCATTGGATTTTTTGTGTTTTTAAAGCTCTCCACATCAAGGATTGGGAAGCACTAACTTAAAGGAAGGCCAGGTGGTGGCGTTTTGAGACCAGCAAGGGCATCCAGTGGTCGGTCAGTCATGAACACTCAGCCCCAAGGCTTGGCATTACAAGAGTTTTCTGCAGCCTGCTTTGTGAAAACCCTGGCTGGTATACATGGGCAACCGATTTGCAAAGGGGTACCCAAGAGGAAATAGCACCTTTGCTCCAAAGGGCTCATACGGATGCTTGTGCAAAGGAAGAACACACAGACACCATGTTCACATCCCCACGGGTCAATACAGGGAAGTAAGCATGAATGCCCAGCGGGCTTTGTGTAAGGCATGTGAGCTTTCTGGCTTCATTATGCAGGAAAGAAGAATTTTGCAAGACGTACTGTTAGAGATAAGCTATTGTAACAACAAGACTGTTAAGCAGAAGGGAGATGATTAGAATTAGGTAATCTTTATTTAAATAGTCACTGAATGCTTGTTATTTGTCAGTTTTGTGCCAGGGCCCTCTCATACATCATTTAATCTTTGTATGACACTTTGCACTAGGTATTATTTAGGCCCATTTTATAGTGAAGAAAATTAATGCTGATAAATCTTAAGTAATTAGCATAAAATCCCATTAAACAGAAGAGTGAGCCCCAGCCTCTCTGATTCCGAAGCTCATGTTTTGTTCCCCCTGCCAGGCTTTGTGACCTGGACTTACATGATGAGAGGTAATACAGAAGATGGGAGAAAAATCAAGGCAATCATCTTCTTAAGAAGGGGTAACTTCTCAGCATGGCTCATTGGCTGCAAGGTTTCTCCTTCTGGAAAGATCCATGGTGTCATGAGGCAGTGCACACAGTAGGTGCAAAGAGCTCTGGCAGTGCATCCACCAGCCAGCTATGTGGCTGGGCAAGTCACTTAGCTGACCTACGTCTCTGTTTTCCTACCCGAGCAGTGCAGAGGACTAGAATGGTTAGGTCACTGGCTTCCTAGTTGCCCCAAGGAGGCCTGGGCTACAGGAGCCCCAGCGGGGGACGGGATGGACAGGCATGGCCTCTCGCTCCCCTTCAACCTGACAAGCTGTGCATTTAACTGCTTCAAGAGAGGTTTCCCCTGCTTGGGACAGAGGGTAATTTGGAAGGAAAGCCCTAGGTTGGTGGTTAGTGGTCAATGTCAGTCACCCCTCCAGTTTGACAAGTGTCAGGTCCTCTGTTTCAGAAAATGCGTGATGCTGGGAAGAATCGGTGCCATCATGTCACTTGAGTGTACGTTGAAGGGGGGTGGGCAGGGAGCATGGGCATTTCCACATGACAGGAAGGAAGAGCCACCGAGAAGAAAGAGGACAGAAAGGCCAGCTGCAGCCCGCAGAGCTCCCAGGCCGCCCAGGGCAGTGAGGAAGACCAGGGCAGATGGGAGGGTGAGCCGGGTGCCCTGCGCTGTCACTGCAGTGAGGATACAGTCGCTGAGCACAGGCTGGCCTGCAGGCCACCTCCCCAAGCTGCACTTCCTTTTACTCAATAGGATAAAAGTCTCCTGCTCTCTTTTAGTGGTTTAGGATTTAAGCAATTTTCTGTTTCTTTGTGTTTTTCAGATCTTAAATCCAAATTTCATTCAAGAAGGTGAGTTAAAAAGTAGTAGGACTGAGAACATGGGGTTGGCCAAACAAATTTTGACAAAGCCAGCACTTTAGAGGCTTTATGCAATGGTGATGCAGTTCTGTAGAAGGACAAGGAAGGGTGTTTATGGTAAACCGATGGGGTGAGAAAGACCACAGCTTGCAATATGTGTAATGGGAGCCAGTTTTTTTCAGACAAAGTGTGTGGGTATAAAGCCTGAAAGGACATATAACAGAATGTTCACAGTAGTTTCCTCTGCATTATGACATCATGGGGCTTTTTCTTCTTTTTGCTTAGCTGTACTTCCTAATTTTTCTACAATAAACATTTATTTTAAAATACTTTTTAATGGGACACAGATAACAGTGCTAAGCTGAAGATTATTTGACTCATTACACAATATGGGTGGGGGATGCTTGTTCTGTTACTAAATGACTGTTCAAAGTTTCTTCTGAACAATGTAAATTTATGTCAATTTGACCACAGTGGCCCCAGAATTCCTTGTGCCCTTAGTGGATGTGACCTGCTTGCTTGGGGACACAGTGACATTGCAGTGCAAAGTCTGTGGGCGGCCAAAGCCCATCATCACCTGGAAGGGTCCAGACCAGAACATCCTCGACACTGACAACAGCTCAGCCACGTACTCCGTGTCCTCCTGGTAAGCTGATGGTCCCACGTCTGCACCACCAGCATCTTAGTGTGGTTCCCAGAGGTGGAGCCTGGAATGCAGCTTCTGTTCAGCTACTTAGTCTCCTCAAGAAAACAGCTGCGCTGGAGCCTGTGCCAGCACAAATGCTTGGCCCTGCTTAGGAGAGAGACTGGGTCCAGGCGCGTGGGTAGCTCACAGTCGTGTACTCTCAGGACAGTGCACTCGCACGACAGTGTGCTCAGGCCTCGGCCACTTGCTACCGCCTGCCGCCGAGCCCAATGAACATCTGGGGCATGGCCAGAATGTATTTACTTGTTGCTCAGCATCTGTAACTTAGCAACAATGTAGACTTATGTGGAATTAACATGAACAGCTTAGAAAGAGTGCCTCCTGGACCCACATTAAATTGATCAAGAAAAACACAAACCTATTTCTCAAGTCAACCCTAGCTGTACTTTCAGAGAGAGCTTTGACAGTCACTAACATACATACACCCCATTTAGTGATGTGCCCCAGGGGTCCCCAGGGTAATCCTGGTGTTGGGAGAAGTGGCGAAGCCCTCAGATCTGTGGTAGCAATGTAGTCCTCACTTCTAGACATTCCTGAGTTGTTTGTGGCCCTCAGGGTCCTGTGAAACAGTGATATATTTAATTCCTCCATTAGCCTGGGAACAATTTTAAAAGGAAAAAAATGACTCCAAAATGTGCAAAAAGGAAACAGGAAATCCAGCCACAAGCTTCTACATAAAAAGCTTCTTAACAAAACTTGGTTGACAGCCTCTCAATCATTCTGTTAATATTTATTACTGCTAATTGTGAGCTTTATTGTGTACTGCTGCTTACAGTGGATGAGAAGTAATAGGCCCTAAATGCTTAAGCAACATTTATGGAAGAAACACCTAGAATGAAGAAACTGTTATCCATTCACTTGATTTTTGTGCATGTGAAATGATGTTCCCGGCAAAGACTCCCTGGCCAGGTCCCAAAATATCAGATCCAAGGAGCTTGGTGTGAGAGTCACTGCTTGTTGAGGATTGCGGGATCACCAGGACACGTCTCCACTGTCCACTGTCCACTGGGGCGGGAGTGGGTCTGACTGGGATGGCAGCATTTAGCCCTGTCAGGGTGGTTCTGCCCTTGTGATGCTCTGGACCCCAGGCTGGGACGATGGCGAAAGCTATCAATGAGTGGAGGAACTTGCCCTTTACTTAATTCATGTAATAGTTTTCAGGGTCCCACATGTAGAATTTGAAACACGAATATTTTCATTCTTTATTCTTTTCATTTTCTTGTATATTCATTATTAATTTGTGAAACTGAAACTATTTTAGGACATTGTTAGTGGTAATAACACTGAAAATAGTTTGGACCAGTATCTTTCCAGGACTTGATGTATTTCAAACCATGTTCTCATATCGCATTTGCTCCTTTTTTATCTCTGTCCCTCCTGTACAACACAAATGAGAAATTGAGAGATGGACAGGGCAAGAATTTTTTTCCCATAAGGAAATGGGAATACAGAGAGGCAAGGTGTGTGGGAAGGTCACAGAGCTGGGGCCGACCTCGGGCCTAAGGATTCAGCTCAGCACACCGTGGCCCCCCCTATGGGGTCTTACCCGTCAGTCAGTTGTCTCATTCCTGGAGTTTGAAGAGCTTCCTTCTGGTGTCTCTAGTGATTCTGGGGAAATCACCCTAAAGATCTGCAATCTGATGCCCCAAGACAGCGGGATTTATACCTGCATAGCTACAAACGACCATGGGACCACGTCAACGTCAGCTACAGTTAAAGTGCAAGGTACAGTCTCTTTGTTAGTCAAACACTTCTTATCCTTTTTCACTATTTATTTTGTAGTGTGGTAAAATACACATGACATAAAATTTACCATCTTAGCCAGCTTTGAGTGCACAGATCAATAACATTAAGGACCTTCTCACTGTGGGGCAGCCAGTCTCCAGAGCGCTTCTCATCTTGCAAAACTGAAACTCTGGGCCCATCAAACTCCCCTCCACCCCCAGCCCCTGACAACCGCCATTGCTACTTATAATGTTTGGCAAATGCAAATTCATAAATTCGGTCTCCATGTATTTGTGTGAGTCAAACATTTTAAGTGGACATAACAAGGGCTCCCTGAGACCTGGGAAAGAAAAGGTCCCTTATGAAAACCCAAAGTAAAGTCCTCGCAAGTAGAAGAGCCCAAATCACCGCTAAAAGCTGTCTCGGGCCTACCGTATAGCTCCCTGACCAAACCTTATCTCCACGGTGCAGTATTTATCCCGAGGAAGAATTTCCAAGAGTGAAGTGTGTCTGCCAGGTCTCCCTCGGGCCTGGAGCAAGGTACACCACTTGGTGGAGAAGGTGTAAAAATTTGAAACACAGGTTAGGTCATGTTTCCTAAGTGATGTTCCCCTTGGTGTAAATGCCAAGCTCTGCAGAAATAGCCCTTGACCCTGATTTCTGTCTCCAAAGGTGTTCCAGCCGCCCCCAACCGCCCCATTGCCCAGGAGAGAAGCTGCACGTCTGTGATCCTCCGCTGGCTGCCCCCATCCAGCACGGGAAACTGCACTATTTCCGGCTACACCGTGGAGTACAGAGAGGAAGGTGGGCCATCTCCCCCTGCTCTTCTGTTTCTGCCTGCTCCTCACCAGAGAGCCCTTCAGAGCCAGGAAACTATATGCCCCCATGCCTTTCATCATTTGTGTGTCCTGCAACTCAGCACAAAGGCCTCAGTGCCAGACCACAGCCACCTTCTGATCTCTAACATCCAGTAATGGTTTTCCCCAAACTGATAGTGACTCATGACATGCTTCAGAGTGCCTTCACATGGTTAACTGATCACCGAGAGAGGGCCAATCAGGCCCATTCCACAGAGGGGGAGGTGAAGGCCTAACAAAGCTAAGAAACATGAGGCAGCTGTTGTAAGAGGCGGGGCTGGCACTCGAACCCAGGACCCTAGTTTGCTAATTGGTGATCTATCTCCCAAAATGATAACTAGAATGACATGAGCAGAGCTCCCCCCCCACAACCAGATAAAATTTAGAGATCACAAAAATATATATGTATATCTACACACATATATAATGAGTTTTTTCATTGCTCACTTTTTAAATTAGATTTACATGCTAAGAGTGTATACTTTTGTTCAGTAGTTAGAAACAACTGAGCCTGACAGGAATAGTTAAATAGTTCTACTTGTTAATAGTTATTAGTTCTAGTTGTTAAAACACATCTGTGAACTACATGATGAATTGAAAGCAAGTGCTTGTGCCCAGACCCAAAATCACTTCTTTTACTCTACTTTCCATTGCTCTTAGTATTTTGACTCTTCTTTCGTCTATTAAATAGGCCCTATGCAGTCATAAAGCTATTTATGAATAGCATTTTTCTTAAGCTGTTCACTCTTGTGTCTCCCAACCCAGCACAAAGTATTAATGCCGAGCTGAGAGATGCATTTCACCAAGTTCATATTTGCTTCACAATTATTCAGCTCATAGTTTATCTTATTAACTAAGTTCTCTTAAGAAAGTTGTTTGATCTTTCTGAGACTCAATTTCTTCATCTGTAAAGAAAGTCATGGTCCCAACCTCACAAGGTTTCTGTGGACTTGAGAAGGTTAAATGAGAAAATTATGTGAAGAAACCTACCCACAGTATTTCATGTGTGTGGAGTGCTCAACTCATTCATTTCTATTTTGTTTCAATTTCCAAATACATATTTTCTCTTTTTGTTATAAATTTCTGACATATATTTTTCTGGCCTTATTAAAAGTTTGCCACACTGTCCTCTGTAAATTCTGTATGACCTCTGTCTTTTTACTCTCACACATGCACATTTGAAAATGAACAGAATATACAGTCCAGCTGCTTCTACACCCCTCATGATAAATTCAATCATTTAGGAAACTGAACCCCAACCTGCCACAGTTGACCCACAGGCTTTCAGCACCCAGTGCGGTGACCACAACTGTACCTTGAATAAAATGTGTCACTTTTCCTTTCTTTGTTTGCTGAAGCTCTTTGAAACAATGTCTCTCTGGCTTTTCCTCTTTTCCTCTCCTCGGAAATTGTGCACTAGGTTCCCAGTCCTGGCAGCAGTCTGTGGCTTCAACCTTGGACACTTACCTCGTCATCGAAGACCTCAGTCCTGGGAGTCCTTACCAGTTCAGAGTCAGTGCCAGTAACCCCTGGGGGATCAGCCTTCCCAGTGAGCCCTCGGAGTTCGTGCAACTTCCAGAATACGGTGAGTGCTGGCCATGCCCATGACCCCAGGTGGTGGAGGCAAGGCACCTGGCCACGTGTCACATACTCCCTGGTACTAGCTGTTCACTGGCCTGCCAGGCCACCATGTAGGAGGTGACTTGGACTTGAATTTGGGAGCTATCTTTAGTCAAATAACATTTCAGAGGTTGAATGAAGAATGTTTCCATAATGTGTGATTTCAAGTGTTTTGGAGCACAGGTTAGACCTGCCACTCGTGTCTGTCTTGGGCCTGCCAGATTCTGGGGCACGCGGGTATGTCTCTAGGAACAGAGGGGAGCAGGCAGGAGTCATGAGTCCCCTGGATGCTCTCTGCCCCTTCTGAGACAGAGCACCAAACCTCCCCTCCCCTGGGAACCCCACCAGGCATAAGTGTACCTCACAGCATTAGGGACAGCCCCTCTTGCCAATTGAAAATGGGGAGAGGAAAGCCAGCCACTGGTTGAAGGATTTGAATCAAAATGAGTATTTGACAGTTTCTCACCCTTAACACTATCAGAATGAATGTCTTTTTTTGACATAGGAGCACTTTTATATAGATGTGTTCAATAATTAAGATATACCTATAACTGAACAAAATAGCAATAGACCCCAGGGGTTACAGACACTGAGAAGTGACTGGTGGTTACCATGGGGGAGGGTGAGTAGATAAAGGGGCACAAAAATTCTCAATCATAATATAAACTGGTCACGGGGATAGTAGTACAGCATGGAGAATATAGTCAGTGATTTGGTAACATGTTCCTATGTTGACAGACAGTAACTGCCTTAGTGGGGGTGAGGATTTAATAATATGGGTAACTGTTGAACCACTGAGATGTATACTTGAAACCAATATAAGATTGTATATCAATGATACTTTCATTAAAAAAAAAACAGGTAAAAAACTAGAAAGTAGTTACCAATGTAGCTTTAAATTTAAAAATTTAAAAACACACAAAAGAAGATATACATGTGACTAACTACATGAATATTTTACAAACATCATTCTTATTTTCCCCACCTGTTAGCTATCTCACCAAGCCACCTTGCTCCCAAGGACATTTTGAAGAAGGAGACTTGTCAGCATAAAGAAATCTCCAAGTAGCAAGGTTCTAGGCAGTGCATGGGTGCTAGGACGCAGAGAGGAGGCCCTGTACTTAGAAGGTGGGGCATCTGTGTCCCTGGGAATCCCAGGGTCTCCAGAGGGGCTCCGAGACACTCTTGGGCTTTGGGCTGCAGCTGAATCCAGAAATGCTCCCAGCCCTGCCCCCCTACCTCAGCTCTCTCCCAGTGGTTTTGCTCCCTTGGACCTGGGGCTCATGGGAAACCTTGGCCCGGGGTCTCTGTTTCCTCAGCATTCAATATGGATAGGACACCTTCAGCGTCAGCCAGGTGGCGCCCTGGGCACCCTGCGGTGACCTGGGTCAGGAGAGCATGCGCTGGCCTGGTTCTCTCCTCCCAAGCCACTAACTAAACCCCGCCCAGGGATCAGCACATCACATGTTCTGCTTCTTGTGAGCCTCGTCCACAGAGACAACACAAATAGATATTGGTGTGTACGTGGGTGTGTACATGTGTGCAAATCATTGCCAGGGAATTAACACATCTACAAAGTAACGCTACCAGAGATTCTACTCAGGGATATATTTTGGGTTAAGCTAAACCATTTGATATACCGGATAAGCTCATTTAATGCCTGAGAACAGGCGGGTGAGGGCCGCAGCTGTCATCCTGTGGAGCACCTTCCTCTCCTCCCCTCCTCCCTGGCCCCATAGTTCTCCCCCGTCCTCCCCTGATGCCTCATCCCTACAGCCCGGTTCTCACTGGCTTTCCAAGGCCTTCAACATATTTTTCTCTCTCCCCTTTTAATATTTTCTACCCAATTTCTATTTTAAAATATCCAGAAGTCACATTTCTGATTGTCCTGAGTTTTCCTTTGTTTATTTGGTGCAGGGAGGGAGTCTGACTTGGTCATGTCTGTTTTCCCTTGAATGATCATTTAAAAATAGCATTTCAGAGAACTGTGGCACTTTCCCCACTGAGTCAGTCTCCATATTAAGGCATGAGGATCGCCCTGGGGTAATGCTGGGACTTCTTTGTTAACCTTGCCTCTGTTCTTACATGACTGCCTCCGCCTCCTGAACGGGCTCTCCTCCAAAGACGCTGCTGCTCATGGGGCCGCCGTTTCCTGGAAGGAAAACTTTGATTCGGCTTATACTGAGCTGAACGAAATTGGAAGGTAATGACCCGATTTTCTATTCCTTCATTCATGAGCACTTAAAAAATTGCATCAGAATAACGACTGGCTTTTATTGTTTTTTTCTCTCACTAAGTGCATTCTCCCTATTGTAAGAAAACACTGGAATCTGCATGTGTGTTTTCCATTGTTCTTTTTCTGACCTCGTAAATTGGAGGCTTCACTCATCCACTCCTAGGCTTCTTTTCTAATTCAGGGATCAACATTCTTTTCAACGTACAATTGTAGACATCTTCCAAGTTCTGCTATGTGGCGTTTTCATTATGATTCAGTTCTAAGTGTTATTCCCTCAATTGACTTTTTTCTTTGACCCAATTGTAATAGAAATGTTTTAAAACCTTCAAATGTATGATATTTTTACAAATTCTCTTCATGTCACTGATTTCTGACCTAATTGCATCTTGGTTGAAAACCTGGTCTGTATCACACTGATTCTTTGATTTTTGTTGGGACTTGCTTTATGAACAATACATGGTCAGTTTTTGTTAAAAAGTTCCATGTCTTACTGAGAAGAACATATAATCACTAATGGCTGGGTAAAGGTGTCTCAATATGTCCATGTGTGAACCACATGGTTTCATGGATATTTCTAGTCCAGTTCTCCCCCTACGCACACACACACACACACACACACACACACACCTCTCTCTATTTAGGTTAGAAAAATGCGTCTTCAAAAAAAAAGGATAAAAATATGACTTTTAACAGAATAATGAAAAAACTCTATCACCTGTCCCACAAAATAGTTGATAGAAAGGAACAAAAAGGGGATTGTCCCTTGCATACATTGGTCTCCAGGTGATCTAAGGAAGAGAATGGGGGTAGATCTTGCAAGTCACCCACTATCCCTGTATGTGTAAATGAAAGAGCACCTACTAACAATGGGCCATTAGCATCATCTCCATCTCTAATTGACAGTCTCTCAATGAAGTATAAGATTTCCTAAATGGGGTGACTGTGACAGAGGCTGAGAGAGCCAACCTGTCTCATAGGCAGGATTCACAGTGTAACGTACTGCCTTTCCTTACAGCACCTCTCATCAAGAACTAATGGGAGCTCTGCTTTCCTCTTTGTGTAGCCAAACACAGAGGAAAAAAAATGTCCAGTGGAAATTAATGTGGTGGTGATGATAACAATGATGCTCACTGTGTGTCTCTAGTGACCCAGATCCAATGCAGATATTATACACAAGTTATCTAATCTAATCCTGACAACACTGCAATGCAGTGTTTGAGTAGGTTTCCAGTAAAGGAAACTCAGGCTTGGGGGTTAAGGAAATTTCTCGGGGTCCCACGACTAGTAAGTATAGAGCCAGGGTTCAAAGCCTGGGCTACCTGATGCTAAGCCTGTGCTTGTTTTATTAGCATATGTTGTTTCTCATCATAGCCATTTTTGTCAAAAATTATTGAAATTATTAGCAATTGAAATCTAGTTTGCTCCATTATATTGAAGTTTGTGAAGCTAGATATGACTCCGATAATGAATCAAATCCCCACTGCATTCTAAATGAAAGAGGTTCCATAATCTGGATCACCAGTGAACTCCTCCCTGAGACATGCATTTGCTGTTGATGGCTATTGATAAGGCATGTTTTACCTAGAAGAGATGGAAGTCTTGATATTTCTGAGAGGGGAGGCCAATTTTCTGATCTGTTTCATGATTTGAAAAATCCATGTTTAAAAAAAAAATCATTAACAACCTGAAGTTTTTCCTCTCTTCCAAGTATACTTCTCATATTTTCGGAAGATCCTTTAAAAATGCTGTGTATAACATTTATGAAACATTTATGAAAATAAGCCATGTAGGTATTTACATTACATACATAAAAGATATTTGGGTCAGGGCCATAGAAGTAAATCACCTTTCTCCAATCACACCTAAATCTATGGCTATCTTGTTAAAAATAGCTCCCCAACAATTGATTATTATAAAAACCATTCTGCAAAAAGGAATAGCATCACTCCTGCAGCCCATCTATAGAAGGAAAGAACACTTGAGCATGGCATATTTTACCAAACATAAGCTGGGTAGGCATGACTGCAGTGTGAAGAAGGCAGAGTTACCCCTGGGAAGGCTGACAGGTTACCTGTACGGGATCCAGGTGGCAGGCCTCCAGGTGAAGATGGCAGGTTGAACACAGGCAGCTATTTTCACTCCCTCCTGAGACTTCACTAAATCTACAGTATAGGGATTTTTCAATATAAGGATGAGGGCATTGGAAGAAGAGACAGCAACAAGGCATTAAAAGCAGAAAATCAGATGAAAGAGTGACAAATGACCTTGGAGACCTGGGAAACTCAACCCAAAGCAGTCGTGGGGTCAAGTGAGAGCCAGGATGATCTTGCAGTCGAATTCCCCAAGGCTAAGGTCCTGGCAGCAGCAAGTGCCATAGGAGTAGGTATAAAGAGACAGCTGACACCTGCAGGACTGGCTGTAGCTTGGTGTGAGAAGAAACTGTGGCTTCAGATCCCCTCTTCAGCTCCCCAGCTTCAGGCAGCTGTATGACTCTCCTTCCCCATCCAGGGAAAGGGTGGAGGTTTTTTCTAGAAGGGGTGAAACAGTGCCTCTGTTCTCCAGGCACATATGCAGTTGAGGGCAGCAGAGCTGCACTCCAGTTGGGGCTGTGGTGAGGAAATGTGCTCACTGGACACTCAGGACCCCACTCTGATTACCAGGCCTCCAGAAGTGGACAGCCAGGGTTTCCCCTTCTAGGCAGGAAGTAGGACCATCTTTGTCTGGGCAATCTGAGCAGTCCCAGAGGAAAGACTTAAAAAGATACCGACCAGAGCTTTCCCAATTAAACGGTCCAATCCAATCAGATCTCCCACAAGGAAGGTCAAGTTGGCCTCCAGGCCCCACCCCCACACTCAGAGCTTCTGAGCAGCCTTTTACTCCCCAACTTTTAAAATGAGCCAACTTCTGATGCCAACCAAGAAGGAGAAAGCCCATGGAGGCCTTTCTCTCACACTAATTACAACCAGAATCCCTGGACAAAATACAACAGCAACTGCCTGAGGATCCTGAGAAGTAACAGGTGAGACTGGGAAGAATGTTAAAACCTAAAGACAAAGAGGGTGGCAGTGAGTTCTCAATTGGTTTGTTTTTCTTTTGTTTTGTTTTTTGTTAATTTTTTATTAAGGTATGATTGATATACACTCTTATGAAGGTTTCACATGAAAAAACAATGTGGTTACTACATTTACCGATATTATCAAGTCCCCACCTATACCCCAATGCAGTCACTGTCCATCAGTGCAGCAAGTTGCCAGAGATCCACTATGTCCCTTCTCTGTGATACACTGTTCTCCCTGTGATCCCCAACACCATGAGTACTAAACATAATACCCCTCAGTCCCCTTCTCCTGCCCTCCCCACCCACCCTCCCACACCCCTCCCCTTTGGTAACCACTAGTTCATTCTTGGAGTCTCTGAGTCTGCTGCTATTTTGTTCCTTCAGTTTTTCCTCACTGTTATATTCCACAAATGAGGGAAATCATTTGGCACTTGTCTTTCCTTGCCTGGCTTATTTCAGTGAGCATAATGTCCTCCAGCTCCATCCATGTTGTTGCAAATGGTAGGATTTGCTTCTTATGGCTGAATAGTATTCCATTGTATATATGTACTACATCTTCTTTATCCATTCATCTACAGATGGACACTTAGGTTGCTTCTATATCTTGGCTATTGTAAAAAGTGCTGCAATGAACATAGGGGTACATATGTCTTTTTGAATCTGAGAAGTTGTATTCTTTGGGTATATTCCAAGGAGTGGGATTCCTGGGTCAAACGGTATTTCTGTTTTTAGTTTCTTGAGGAACCTCCATATTGCTTTCCACAATGGTTGAACTAGCTTACATTCCCACCAACAGTGTAGGAGGGTTCCCCTTTCTCCGCATCCTTACCAACATTTGTTTGTTCTTAGTCTTTTTTATGCTGGCCATCCTTACTAGTCTGAGATGATATCTCATTGTGGTTTTAATTTGCCATTCCCTGATGATTAGTGATGTGGAGCGTCTTTTCATGTGTCTGTTGGCCATCTGAATTTTTTCTTTGGAAAACCATCTCTTCATATCCTCTGCCCATTTGTTAAT